TTCCGTACGGTCTGATCATGTACAGTCTGATCATGTACAGTCTTCCGTACGGTCTGATCATGTACAGTCTGATCATGTACAGTCTTCCGTACGGTCTGATCATGTACAGTCTGATCATGTACAGTCTTCCGTACGGTCTGATCATGTACAGTCTGATCATGTACAGTCTTCCGTACGGTCTGATCATGTACAGTCTGATCATGTACAGTCTTCCGTACGGTCTGATCATGTACAGTCTGATCATGTACAGTCTTCCGTACGGTCTGATCATGTACAGTCTGATCATGTACAGTCTTCCGTACGGTCTGATCATGTACAGTCTGATCATGTACAGTCTTCCGTACGGTCTGATCATGTACAGTCTGATCATGTACAGTCTTCCCTACGGTCTGATCATCATCTTTTCATTTGTGCGATTTTGCTTGGAAAACTGTGTGGTTTTTTAATGCATAGAGATGTCTATGGGACCCAAACCGCGCAACGACTGCCCGAAAATAGCTCCTGCACCTTTTTGAGCGACAGCCGATTTCTACAGCGCAACAAATCGCAAAGGTGTGAACAGCTTCCATAGACTCGAATGCTAAATCTGCACGATAAATCGCTTAGGTGCTTGTTTGTCACAGCGCTCCCTGCATCACATTGGAATCTTCCTCAACTTCCTTACGTCAATACACGGGGGGTAATTTATCAAAACTGGAGCAGACAAAATCTGGAGTAGCTGTGCCTGGCAACCAATCAGCTTCTCTCTTCAGTTTGTCCAGTTAAGAAAATAAAAGCGAGAAGCTGATTGGTTGCCATGCACAGCTGCTCCAGATTTTGATCAATTCCCTTCTCCGTGTATAGAATGTGATGATTGCAGACCACTACAGAGGAGGGGAGAGACTCTAGAAGGACCGGTCTAAAGGTGGCCATACACTGTACAACCATCGCAAGACCTTAGTCTTGCGATGGTTGTAAAGTGATTAAAAAAACGTACGATCTGCCTATCTTGGACAGGCAGATCGTACTCTCGATCATCGCAAGCCCGCTCCCCTGAGGAGCAGTGTATGGGCACCTTTAGAAGAAGCCAGCTCAGAGCTTCAGGTGAGTATAACACAAATGAGCCATTAACCCTTGCAGTATGGGGTAGCCTCGCTGCAAAGGGTTATTAAACAAGTTTCCTGGAGTTCTGCTTTAATAATAATAACCCTGTCTGTAATGTTCTGGCAGATTTCATTATCAGTTGTAAACTAGATCTGAACAGTGTCTGTCCTAGCAGAGGATCTAGAACAGGGGTAGCCAAACTCCGGTCCTCCAGCTGTGGTGGAACTACAAATCCCACGAGGCATTGCAAGATTCTCACAGCCACAGACATGACTCCCGGAGAGAGATGCATCATGGGATTTGTAGTTTCACCACAGCTGGAGGGCCGGAGTTTGGCTACCCCTGATCTAGAAGCATTGTAGTGTAATGAGAGGAAGCTCAGAGTGTCTCTGGATTTCTATGATGACAGCTAGAGTTTCCTGTCACTATAAAATTGTACAGAGAAGCTTGCAGTCTGTCCAAAGGCCTGTCCACAGACACATCTAAAAGGTAAGAAATATGTGTTTTAAACCTTTTTTTTTGCCAGAAAAAATGTAAATACACTTTAAGGCAGTCTCCACCCCTTTCTGAAAAGTAATCCGCAGTGGATCTGTTTTCATAGGGCAGCAGAGCAGCATCCGCCTGGTGCTAAGGAGGTGTTACTGCCGCCTTATGAATGCAAGTTTTTTTTTTTATATCCCAGTGGGATTTTCTGTTGGAATACTGCGCCTCAAACGCGAATCCACATAGTTGTGAACCGGTCCCATTTATTCCAGTTGTCGCATTCGACAAGCGGCACTGCCTGTCAAGAGCGACATTTTGCAGATGGAGTGCTAGCATTGCAGCGGGTGGCTGGGGGCAGTAAAACCGCACATTCGCCACGCCTTTTTACCTCCTGTGTGATCTAAGCCTAAGTATTGCCCTGAAACATGCAAATACTGCAGTAAACAAGATGGTTCTGCTTTGTTGTGAGGCCTTCTCTGACCTGCTTTTTTCTTTCTGATAGTAAAGTGCCATACACACGGATAGTTCTCGGCGCACTCATAGTACTTTACAATCTACAAGATTTCATCCGGATGCTCACATTGTTGACAGTACATAATGGCAGGTCTTGGTGATCCTTAGATTGCTGGTGTGGTGCAACCTACATGCCTCTGTAGCTGTGCTGTACATAGCTTCAATTTTATTTGTCTATACTATGTAATCTGTCTGTCATTTCTTTGCTAATGTCAGGTTATTTTTATTCTAGGCCATCAGTCACAGCCTCCTAGGCTGTGCTAAGGAAGCGATGGGTCTGTTCTACATTGCATACACACGTTTTTCATTATCCTGTAACTTCCAAAGCATGGCAAAGCAGATGAATTGAAAAGGTTAAGCACTCGATGAAATCCCCAGATAGGCAATTCATTCCCCCAGCTGTGAAGAAGAGAGGCTTCATTTCAGATGACCTGATGAAATATTTGCATGCTGTGTCTTCAGATGATTTTATTCATACGTATTGCTGTGTATTACCAGATACTACAAGGGGGTCATTATTGCAAGTCGTTACATCAATAATGATTCCGCTAGGGTACTGTGTGCATGTATTCAAGTATTGTATGATTACTGCGGGACATAGTATAACAAAAGAAAGCCTGAGTCTTCAGCATTTGAAGATTTTATGTTCTTTACTAATATGATTGTAGAATCATACCCTTCGTTCACATTCTTCATCTGTATCTTACAGTTCATTGAACTAGTGCCAGCTATTTAGCACTATAAAGTGATCTATGTGTACTGAGCCTGTTTGCCTTGCTGTCGACTTTATTATTATTTTTTTTCCAAGCTTTGATATGTTTGTACTGCCTGTATATGTCGGGATTTTATGATTATTGTAGTTTCATTCAGCCTGACTTTTGCCTTTGTCTCCTTTTGTCAACTTTGAACCAGCTTTAGAGTGCCAAAACAATCAAACGTTTCCAAGGAACCCACCACTATCAGTTTAGATTGTTTCATGGTTTTGAGAACCTATTGGTGATAGACAAAGTGTGTCCCATCCCACTCCTGACGGAAGCAAACCCCAAAAGCAGGGTGGGTGTGGTAGCGACAGCAGATGCCTCCGCAGAGCATATGAAGATTCAAATAGAAGGTCACTCGCACTCCAAAACGATGCCAAGTCAATCTCTTTATTGACTATGGTAGTGTAACATCTCAGAGCGAAGTTTCACAACCTAGTGGTCCCTGTTTGCCTGAAGAAGGGACCACTAGGTTTCCGAAACGTCGCTCCGAGATGTTACACTATCATAGTCAATAAAGGGATTGGCTTTGTTTTGGCGTGCGAGTGACCTTCTATTTGAATTGTCCTATTGGTGATACGTTGCCTTAATCCATTTGTTTGTGTGATTGAAAGCTGTTTGTAAATGGTTGAAATCGCCTGAAAATTGCCACATGGCAACTAGCTTTCACAGCTTTTCAAACAAATACATAATGGCAGCCCACCATTTGTTATAACGTTATATAATTAAAGCCGAACTCTGGGGAAACTCCACAGCCCCACAACCCAGATCCATTTGTTTGTGTGATTGAAAAATTAACATAAGTGTTAATTTTACTTACCTAAAACCTTGGTCACATACACTCCAGTCCTGATGCTCTCTTCTATTAACATGAGGCGATGTCCATCCTCAGGTGCCCACGTCACTGCCTGCATGACATGGACACTTGGTATTGGCTGTCTAGAAGCAGGGTCCTCTGTCAGCACAAAGAAACTCCCGGGGACTAGCCTGCATGGACACTATCTGATGTTTTGGTTTAGTGGCCCCTTGAAGCAGCTCTGGCATTGGACATGGACAGTGGATTTAGGTGACTATAGCTTGCTTCCCAAGGTTGGGAAAAAAACATGCAAATTGTGTTAGAGGGGGTGGGTTTATGTTTTGCCCAGAGTGGGTTTTAAACCATGTCAGTAGAAAGCATTGGTAAAAGGTTGCATCCACCTGTCTGGTTGTTTTTGCTAGAAAAGCTTGTAACCCCTAACCTAAACCTTAATATAAGGCCACCTATGGTGATCGCTGCTTAATGACAAACTTTAACTTAAAGTATAATTAAACCTGGCAATATATCTACTGCTAGCAGTAGATATATGCAAAAACATAAAAAAAAAAAGTTACCAAATAGATTTAAACTTACATGTGTCTCCGCCGCTCGCTCCCATCCGAAGTTCAGAAGCTTGGGTGGCCGTGAAGGATCATGGGGTGGACGCATGCGCAGTAGAGATATTGGTCCGGGAGAAGAGATGAGACACAGTGTAAGTCAATGCATGCAGCCTGGCAGCGTGCACCTGCTCAGACTCCTTGGGACACAGGGGACACAGCAGTCAGCGCTGGATCAGAGACCGGCACCAGCTGAAAACTACTGGAAGGAAGATGATCGGATCAATAGGCGTCATTTAAAGTAAGTCCTTACACTAGCATTGGGGGGGAGAGGGGGAGGGAAGGAAACAAATTTGACTTTAATATCACTTTAACACTTAGGTTTAAAAGCTGAGCTATTAATTTCAACTATCGGGCTAATTTTTTTTATCTTATGTGGTACAAGTGTGAGTACCCAAATATAACAGTCCTGTGCTGAAATGTACAAGCCCCAGACTGCTGGCACCTAAAACTTCTGATTCTGTACCTATGTGACTGTTGGATCATTGAACCTGCCCAAATTAAGTGCTGTTTGTAGGACAGATAGACAGGAAGGGCCAACAAGACCAATTTTGTTGTCCCTGTAGTTTGGACGTATCTGAATGTATTATACTTTTACAAACATATTTTTTGTTGTTGTGATTATGTTTCTTTCACCTAATATATATATAAAGATATATACATATTTTTTTCTTTAGTGTGTGGAAATCTAATACAATGTAAACTAAAAAAATTATTTATCCATATCGCCCATTATTTTATATTTTTCAGAAACGGCTTCAGAAGGAATTGTTGGCTTTACAAAATGAGCCACCACCTGGAATGACGTTAAATGAAAAGAGTGTTCAGAATTCTATTACGCAGTAAGTAAAATGAAACCAATCCACGTTAAGCCCTGAGCATTACACAAGTAGTTTTTTTTACTGTGTAAAGAATTGATGGTTAAGTTCTGGTGTGACTAGGTGAGAGGTATAAGTGTATGAAGCCATTAAAGTGCATTTGTGTCCAATGCATTCTACTCTGAATTAGGAGTTTGAAAAATAAGTTGCAATGCCATAGCATACCTTCTGAAGGGAGATTTCCTAGCTTCAGTAGACATCAAAGATGCTTACCTGCATGTGCCAATTTTCCCTTGACATCATCTGATTTTGCGCTTTGCTTTGGGGAAAATCATTTTCAGTTCACGGTAGACACACTATTGGCTCAGAGTTCTCCCTGATCTATGCCTTTCTTTCAGTGAAGATCATTCCTCGTCTGCTCTGCAGAATTGTGGTGGAGGGAATTCCACTAATTCTCATTGCTCCAAGCGGGCCCATAATAGTGTGGCACACAGACATGCTCGGATGCTGGCGGATTCCCCTCGCCTGCTTCCAGATCGTCCAAACCTGCTGTCTCAAGGTCCAGTGTTCATCCTGCTTCTCAGGAGTCTGTCTTACTCTGCGATTCCTGCACTCTTGCAGGCCTGGAAGTCCACCTCTTGTAAGGTGTACCATCGTACCTGGAGGATCTACTTTGCGAGCAGAGGCACCAGGCAAATTGGATAAAATTCACTGAACCTCTTTATCAATCTCTGGACAACAGAATCACACAGTTTTATTTTTTTTCTACCTAGATGATTATTTCCTGTCCAAACGGATCCTGATTAGTCAGTGCTAATACCACCTTTCTGCTAGGGCAGGACACCACAAGTTGTTCAGTTTCCCATAATGGTACTGGAGGCCATTGATTACCACTATCCATGTCTGCCACCCCCAGGGGTTTGTAGAACCCCGTTGATCTCACTAACATTCTCCAAGATTTCTAAAGGGTTTGGTTATTTAACTGCTGTACCAAAATTTTCTCTGTGACAACTCCGTAATCAGGTGTGGCCTCTTGCTCTTCTATTTCTCCCAGTTACACATCTAGAGGAGATGTGTCATTATTAGGAACATTACTCAGGAGAAAGCGTGACAAACGTATCCTTAACAACATTACCCTTGGTCACCCTGACAGGGGACAACACCTTTATCACACCATTACACTCCTAGCAATAGTAAGTAATGATCATTTACTATGCAGTAAGCCAGGGACAACAGCCACTTCATTAATCATTTCCTCAACAGCTATTTCTATAGTCGCCATTTATACAGACAACCCCAGCACTATGGCCTCACAGGTCTTCAGGAATTACAATACAAGAGTCCAATAATGCCAGGGTAGACTTTCTGGCAATATTTACCACACTGATTGAACGGGCATGCAGGGAGAGGCATCGAGGCAGACTGCAGTCCATAGGCTTCCCCTGGTTTGGACTGGTGGCAATGGTATGACCTGGCTCACTGCAGTGCCAACAGTTCATGCGGGCTTGAGACCAGTACACGGTATTGTCGAGGTAACCTTGGGGCCCCTTTTCTTACCCTCGAATAGGTATGCTGTTTGTTGGGTTTTACAGGTGATGGTAGCTTCTGGCACTCTGCACAGGTGAGCAAAGCAGCCAAGAGTAGGTCCTCAGTAGTGAAGTAGCTTTTAATGCTCGCCACCAGCTCCTCTGCTGTAATTCCTGGGGCGGGGCCATAGTTACCTGTTCCTGTGGAAATGGTCCATGGTTTCCTGTTCTGTGACTTGGGCCACTGCGACCAGCTCTGGCTGGAGCCATTTTTTAGAAGATGGGCCAGTTCATGCATCTGACCAGATGGTTACTTTTCTGGTCACCCTGTAGTCAAGTAGTTACACCTAGCTGACAGAGGATCTCTGTCTCCAGGCATTCATAATATGCAGCCACCTTGGGGGCCAGGTTGAAATATGAGCTTGCTGAGCATTTCTAGAGTGAAAAGGTGCCAGAATACCTGTCCTTGAGCCACTGTTTCCAGTCTGCGAGCCTCTCAAATGTGTAAAAGAAGACCTCCATGTCATCATGTGGGGTCAGCTTCTGTAGGAATTGGCTAGCACATAAATCTTCACTTTAGCTAGTGCTGCTTACTAATGCCCTTTCTAACCCCAGCTGTTTTACCAGAGCAGTACATTGCTCCCTTTGCACTTCCAGGGCCTTCTGTTGTCCCTCCAGGAGAGGAAATATGTGGCTGTTGTCCTCCTTACTGGCTTTCTTTTGCACCTCCAGCTCGACTGCAAAGTGTTGGGTTGTGTCCTCCAAAGCCCTCAGCTGTACTTTGGTGGCCTCCTATTGTGCAACCATAGCCTGTACAAGGCCCTTCACCGCATCCTCCATTTTATGAGCAGCCACAGCAATTCCCAGCATAACGTGTGTCTGTCCCTTTAATTTCAAACTTCTCTTTCTAGGAATTCACTGCCCGCATTCTCCACCAAACATGACGGAAAACCTGCTCAGATGGTAGCTCTGTGGCAGGAATACACCACACCACACAGTCTCAGTGAGGGATGACTGGTCCCAAGTTTTATTATTTGTAGCAGATTAACAGAAAAGATGGTTCACTTCAGCATAAAAACAAAGTCCTGCTTAGGCCTCATTCACACACAAATCGGCCTGCACGTACAGCTCCGTGCTGCGTGCGGGGCCGTACCAAGTAGCTGCCGGGAAGGACAGGTGCTGCGTGTGATTAGAACGCAGCCCCCGTCCTCCTCTATGGGGCTGCGCGGCCATATGCCCCCCTACGCTCACCTCATTTGCAGGTCCGTAGGGGTGCGGGTGATCGTATCCATACGCCGCCGGAATGGAACATGTATGCGTCCCGACCCAGAAAACCCGCAGACGCCTCAATCCACTAGTCCACCTGCCAGGTATTCTGACAGGTGGACTAGTGGATTGAGGCGTCCAGGCTGGGGACCCACCCAATCTTTTCTGCAGCCTGAGCTCCAGGCCCAACAAAGGAATTTTCCAATCAGCCTCTTAACCTC